CTCGCAAATGGATATAAACGATATATTTATGTAGTAATATACTGTTCAGGAACGCTATGTTAATAACATATGTATGGAATATACATGGTTTTATACATAAGTAATAAAACTACTTTACATATTGGTGGTTGCTAGGGTTTTCAGATAAGAACATATTATACGTACTGGTGGTAGCCAAGGTTTTCAAATAGAACATACTATACATTAACAGACTTACATGTTAGAAAATATTGGATTTTATTGGGAAGGATACAAACATATTTATAGAATTCAATGACTGGTTTTCACTACAGAAACATACTTATGAACTCACCAGCTTTATGCTGACACTCTTTCAAAATCGTTTGTATTCTCAGGAAATCAGTAGACAAGTACTCTTGTAGCATTTTAAGAAGACAGAGCGTATAGATAAACGTCTTTTACCTATTCTAACATACTTTTGATGTACATAAACAATGAACCAAACAGAGGTAAATTTTCATGTCTTAATGTAATAGTTGTGTTTACTTTGATTACTATGATGCAATTATTATGATACTACACATGACATCATCCACCCCTAAACGTTTCCACTATTCCGTTTTGGGGGTGTGACAGAATCGACCATATAAAATCGTGTGGTCCCCGACTCAAATATCGCTTGAGACTCGGGAGTTCCGCATCATTCTGTAACTATACTCTCAAATTGACGTGTCGGTTAATCACACGAGCTCCATCAACAAGTTGTAAAGAGAATGTGCAACTTTTATGGATAACATAAGATTCACGTTAAATAGATTTTGAATTAACTATGCAAAATCGCATGCTCCCCGAATCAAGTTATGCTTGAGATTCATGAGTTCCATATCATTCTCAACTATACTCTAGACGAAACTTTCGATTAACCACAAGAGCTCCATCAACAGAATATATAGAGAATGTGCAATTTTCATGAATAATATGAGACTTAAATTCTATTAATATAACGGGATTTTGTTTTATACTTGTATTTATAATACTTTTAGATTGACCATTATCACTATCAAACACTTTCTGTAACTTCATTCTCAAAATGCAATAGGGCAGTAAGGGTGGTAAGCGCGAAGCATATTGAAAACAAAACTCATTAGGAATCAAAGACACCTCCTTAAACCCCTACATCAGAATGGGTGAGTCAAGTCATTGCAATACTGATAATGTTAATATTTAAATATGTGAGGACACATGTTGAAATTTTCTTATACATATAATAGAGACAATTCTTCTATATAAGGGATACATTTAAAACTCTTTAAATTTAATTGTATATTAGTAATTCTAATTAATTGTGAGGACACAATGTAACAATTAATAAATAATGGGGGATTAATATTCAAAATTATATATCTCTATTGTAAATAATATTAAATATTTAAATTCACTATTTAAATAATAAATAAATATTTAAATTTAAATCTGTATTAAATACTATTTATTATTTTCCCGATTTAAAACAATTGAAAATTGGTAATTATTCATATATAGTAAATCTTTAAATTTGAAAAATGAAAAAAATAAGGAAACCCTAATCTAGGCTACTCATGTTGTGAAAATAAACCCTTCACGTCATGAGCTGTGACTAATGGTTTTAACAATTACAAATTTTTCAATAATTATTCTTTCATTCAATTTCAACAAGCATTTACAGAAAACATGGATCTTGGGAGAATTTAATCATGAACCAATGGTTCTGATATCACTGTTGGGTTTTTTTAAGCATCAAATACACTCTAAATTAGGTAGCGGAAATAGCCAAAACTATGATATATCTAAGTGCACATGTAACCTATGGATATATGGTTTCATGCCAATTACATATACCCTAGAAAAAAAGTACAAAGAAGAAAAACATACCTCTTATGTAGCCCTTGATCTCCATGCTTAAGATCTCGTCCCCCGCGAAGTTGCTTGGATGAGAGGACCCAAACCAGAATCCCTCTAATGATATCACACCCGATGACACCAAATAGTGGAATAAAAATATATACGAGAAGGGTCAATTTCAAAAACCCTAAGAGGATTAGAAATCGTCCTTAAGAGGGGGAGGAAGAGGAGTTGGTGAAACTTCAAGCCAAGGTGCAAGGATGAATGAAATCCCTAAGGCCCTATTTATAGCCTTTGATGCCTTTCTTGGTTTTTTAGTCCTTCCCATGTGAGACAAGGAGGCAACCATGAAATTTACTCTTTCCCCATGTGGAATGGAGTGATTTTCGTCCAACCCTAATTCCGTAAGGGTTCTGAAACATTCATGATGAACCAACTATCGATCAATTAATATCCAACCCTTTAACTAATTAAACTGTTAATTACTTCCCAACATATATTTCCAATTAGTTTATAATTAATTATTAACCATAATAATTAATAAACCTATTTCTCCTTTATTTATTCTACTCAATGTGGGTCTTGAGTGCAACCTAAATGGACCCTATTATTATTACAAATATTATCAATAGTTATTGACCTTGTATACTCTTTCCAACACTTTATTAATTGATAGTAAGGTGAAGTGGAAGGAATCCTAGAAGGAGAGTCTAGGAAGTATAGTATATGCTTGATAGGGCATCGGTGGAGATGAAAAATCCTAATAAAGTCTAGGAAAGTATGTTTTATGTGCTTATTAGGACACATAAACATACACACACACAGACACACACACACACACACATATATATATATATATATATATATCTATATATATATATATATATATATATATATATGTGTGTGTGTGTGTGTGTGTTTATGTGTCCTAATAAGCACATAAATCAAACTATATGTTTAGCAATCATCGTGTGTAAAGTTGAAAAGTGACTTTGAAACTTTGGGGCAATTCTGGGGACAAGTAGGAGTATGTGTGAAAGCTACAAGAGGCTTATACTACCTAAAGCACATAACTCGTACTTGGATAAGGAAGAGTCGTAAAGTCGCTATGGCATTAGTAGTTGGATAGATAGTGTGGCTAATGGTGACAAGTTGACAATGGTGAAGATACTAAATTTGGGTTGGGAAATTTGATTTTGAGTGCCAGGTCCGAAGACTGTTTGCTTTGGAGGTTACTAGCAATGCGCATATTTCTGAGTATTTGATAGATAGGGCTTGTGTAATTACCTAGAGAAGATATATTATTGGCTGGGTGTTGGAGTGACAACTTCATCAAATTATGGAGATGTTGGACTTTGTTCAACTTAATAATAGATAATATTATTAGAGGTGGGTTATCAAGATAGATGATTTCTTCTTCAGGATGGAAACTAAAGTTAGGCTCCATCTTATTCCCCCCCCCCCCCCCTGTTGGTGGTGTAGCTAGTAGGTGGACTAAATTCCTTCTTATAAAAAATAATATTTTTATTTGAAGACTTTGCTCGACTGTTTAACGACACATTGCAATCTCGGTCAAAAGGTGTTAAGTTACCTTCTCTTTTATGTCAGTGTTGAGGGGTGGTGTTAGAAGATGTTTTACATGTATTTTAGAATGCTCGTTAGCATTGCATCTTTGGCAGACTTTGGAGAGACGGTTTCATTTCACGATTTTGAGTTTCGATTCCATCAAGATGGCTATAATTGATTATTACGATTTTCGATTCCATGGAAGATCTTTTTCGTATGATAGGTGCGCATGTGGTTACAAACGCTTGGAGATTGATTATTGAGGTGGCTTGTGATATGTTGATTTTTGTTCTTTGGACATACAGAAACGTGCAAGTTTTTTAAAACAAGAAGTACAAGGAGTTCATGTTTGATTCTATCATTTCTTTTTCGTTTAATTGGTTTTCCATTAAGAATTGTAAAGTTAGAAAAACATTTACCTTGTGGATGCAAAATCCGCTTATGAACTAATTGTTTTGTTTGTTTTCTCCAGTTTTTAGCTAGTTTTAAAAGTTATGAAAAAAAATTTAAAAAAAAAAATTTGTTAGCTCACCTCAAAACTATAAAATAAATGCAATGGTTACCAATGTAAATGTTTTATCTTATTTTTAGTCTCATTCGATTATAATATAACTTTCTAGTGATTTTTTTTGCTAGTTGAAAATATAACATCTTAATATAAATAGTTATGGTTGGGTAAAGGAGAATAATATAGTAGCTTAAAAAAAAAAAAAAAAAAAAAAAAAAAAAAAAAAAAAAAAACCTAAAAATTTGGTTTTGTAATAGAAATAAATAATACATTTGAATAATATACATTTAAAGAAAATAGATATCGGTTCTCCTATATTTAATCCTGGACACGGTTGATTAAAAAGCTTTCGTCTAAAATTCATTTAAATGCATTTTAACCTCATAATTGGTTTTTTATAAAATAATTATTCTAGTTGTGAATTAATTCCCATAAGGACTCTTTCATTCTAAATAGAAGGACTTTTTTTTTCCAGTATTAACATATAAATGTTTACTACATAAATTATATGCAATCATTATCCTCTAAATTTATAGCAATATGTATGATAGTAGCTTGTTATAAACTATCATTATTAAACGTAAAAGTTGCATATACTATTTTCTTAATTCATTTTAAAAATAAATACAAAGAACTATTTTCGAATATTAGTATCTAAATGTTTACTATATAATTATATGCAGTCATTATCCTCTAAATTTATATCAATGTGTATGATAGTAGCTCGCTGTAAACTATATTTATTAAACGTAAAAGTTGCATATATCATAAATATTTTCTTAATTCATTTTAAAAATAAATATAAGTAACTTTTTTCCACTATCAATATCTAAATGTTTATTATATAAATTATATACAACTATTATCCTCTAAATTTATAACAATGTATATGATAGTAACTCGCTATGAACTATCTTTATTAAACGTTAAAATTAAGTTGCATATATCATAACTATTTTCTGAATAATTTTAATAATATTATAAAACAATAAAGATCTATTGTCAAGCTCTCATAATGTTATCCAATAAACTTATATTCACATCTTATAGGGTATGGGCCTCTAAAAGCAAAACACTTCAAATTTCAAACTTTAATGAGGTTGTACCCATTTATAACCATAACAGCCTTTGCGGTTGATGGTCGCGCACTTGTGGTCTGAATTTGTTGTTGTGATGACGCCTTGCTTTGTTGTTCCTATTAATAACTCATTTTAATTAGCGAGAATGTAGTATATGTCACTCTTAAACATCAAAATATTTTATTTGTCAGCCTAAATATAATAATTTGATGTTTAATAGGAGCATATAGGGAATTCTCTCATTTTCAGAAAATGTATATATGGTAGATAAAAAATTAAAGGATAATGAAGATGTACCTTACTAAGAACAATTGTGATCCGCGGCCATTGAATTACAGTGCCAACTGCATCTTCTAGGGTACCAACTTCATTTGTCATCACAGGAACAGGAATACCTTTATATCTTTCATCTATGTTGTCTATCATAACCTTCAAGTGATTTCCGCGTAAAGGAAGTGAGTGAATTAACCCATCATTATAAGCAAAGACCATCCCTCTGGCACATTTTTGGTTCATATCACCATAAGGTAACACCAAATCACAACAAGTAATAGTCTGCAATCATATAACATGTAGTGTATTTCATGTGTCAAGATGTTAGAAAATTTGATATAAAATATAATTTGACATCAAAGATCAACGTAAAATGATATCAAGAAATTCAAAAAATATAAGCCGAACACATTAAAACAGTAAAATATTCTAAATACAAAAGTTTGGAACTATTTTAGTATATTTTCTATCACACATGGACCATTATTGTACATTTGTATAACATAGTGACCAATTCTGCATTTCTATACACTTTTGGTTCATATCACCATAATATAACACCAAATCACAATGAGTAATAGTCTGCAATCATATAGCATGTAGTGTATTTCATGTGTCAATATGTTAGAAAATACGATGTAAAACATAATTTGACAGCAAAGTTCAAAGTAATATGATATCAAGAAATTCAAAAAACATAAACCTAACACATTAAAACAAAATATATATATATATATATATATATATATATATATATATATATATATATATATATATGTTAAAGTTTGCATTTCTATACAATAGAGGTATGTTTTTTGTAATTTTTTCTAATATATATATATATATATATATATATATATATATATATATATATGTTAAAGTTTGCATTTCTTTACAATAGAGGTACGTTTTTTGTAATTTTTTCTGCAAAGTGCCTTCTTTTGTAAATTCAGGGATTCATAATTGTTTCTTACAGGGACCGTTTCTGTAAAAAAAACTTATAGGGACCCTTTCTGTAAAAAAAAAACTTACAGGTAACATTTCTATAAAAAAAAACTTACAAGGACTAGTAGAAAAATTGTAGAAAAATTACAGGGACCATTTCTATAATTTTTGTAACATAAAGACCATTCTATAATTTTTACACAGGTTTTATTTATCTAGTTTTATTGTTTGATCAGCAGATACATAACACATACATGGGAATATTTTATAGCTTTTTTGAAACACTTGGACATTATAAAAGACTATGATTGGTCATCAACTCTAACTCAAGTATGTATCTATTTTCATACTTTGTTTTGCCCGAAACAAGAAACAAGTGAATTTTATTACTATTTTCCCAACTTGTACCACATGATGATAATAAATTTATGTAATCAACTAGAATTAATGATAAAAATAAATAAAGTGACTCATTGAGTTGTGGATTTTATTAATTGTTAAAGGTTGATGATATAATAAAGAATTACCTTTATCGTATCTAAAGCATCAAATGTCGACGTCGAGCAAGAACTATTGTTTTGAACAACGAAGCATACATTATTCAGGACTTGGTTCCCAGACTCTTGTTTCGCAAGCATTGCTCTTAACTCTACCAATTGGGTTTTTGTTTCATCTAACTGCGCCTGCATCTTACTAACAACATCTTTGTCCACGACTTTCCTCTTTTTTTTTGTCAAGTCCTTGCATCCCCTTTCTTAAGCCAATATCATGCCCCACCGCCCTGGTACGACCAGGGTGCTCCGATCCTATTGCCTTACTCAACAAATCCTCTCCGGGACCCAGCAACAAATCACCTTCGGATATTTCTTTTTGGACATCTATCTGTTAATGCAAACAACATTACAGTCATACAATTACTTGGACAAAAAAATTAAAAACGAATTCTTAAAAAACAAAATTAAGAGCAATCTTACAAGCTTTTTTACTATGGGTTCCATGATAGGTGGTATTATTTTTGACCCTGACTCATTTTTAGATCTTCTCCCCAACACATAATCTAATGAACGCTCGCTTTTTATCTCATACAACTGTGACGGCAACTGACCCGATGCCTTCTCTTGTTCCCACTTAGCTTTGTTGCCCCGATAACCATGTGGGCCTACTCGGGCTGGATTCGTATTACACATTGAACTCATCCTTGCTTTCTCACTTATATCCTGCCGAAAAAAACAACAACCACAATTATAAAACTGGAACATAATGATTAATATTATCAAGAGACATTATATCCTACTAACCTGGAATTCCGTTGATGATATTCTTTCCTTAAACTTTTGCAATGTAGTTTTTTCCAGATATGAGTAGCTTTCAAGTGGATTTCTCTCATTCTCATTGACCAAGAATTTCTTTTTAAGCCTCTTTTTGTATGATCTCCACTTGTGGTTGCAAGTCATAAGCACATATGATTTGCGGTTTTCATCATGGATTTTCCAACGTTTCTGTTTTTGTTTTTTTTTTTTTTTTTAAAAAAAATAACTATTAGTAACATATATTAATTAAATGAAAGCACATGTAATGTGTATTAGATTAAAAACCTTGATGGTCAACCATAAGTTCTCCTTTTCATTTGCTGGCACTTTCTTCCAAGTCGGATATTCGATAGAAATTAACTTTCTCGTAACAACCCCGCAGTCATTGGCGAACTTATTTTGATTATCGCCACAATGCTGACCAAGACTGTTAAATTCAACTTCTTGTGGCTTTGTTATATACCTTAGACGTGTGGTTGTTCTTTTTTTCCTCGGTTGTGGTTGTGGCACCGGTTGTTGTTGTGGCTGATCATTCATCATCTTTATTGTAGATGATTTGCAAATAGCTCAACCACCTACCTAAACAGATTACAAAAACAATTCACATGATATCACAATGCTTACTTTGCTGTTTGATTGATATCTATATGTAGTTAGGCTAGTAACTGTATGGCTGTGTAACTAACCCATGAGTTACATTATAACAAATGCGTTTGATTGATATCTATTAAGCTCTTCTAGAGCCAATTAGATGACAAGTTTTTTTAATTACTTTAAAAATAGCATCAAATCAAATCAATATATACAACATAATCAACCATTTAATGTTGTATTCCTATAACACTATTAGTTTTGAGTCTAAAAATGAAATATCTTATCCCATCATTGTAGGGGCAGAACATGAGACATGAGCATTAGAACTACATGGGCCAAACAGTGAAACATAGTAAACCTATGATGCCTTGCCTATGCAGTAATCTCATAAAATAAAAGTTTAACCCCACTTGGAAGAATCTATGTACTTAATAAAGTAAAGCAAAACCAAAAAGAGAAAAAGAAACCTAACCCTCTGACCACAACATTATCAGGTACTACCCAATAAACCATGAGACTAAAGGGAAGTTTGGATGTGATGCTAAGTGTTAGATGAATCGGATTTTAATTTTAAATTTCTAGGGCCAAAAAAATCAAATTCCTTAGAGCTAATTTTGTTTCAGTTGAATGAAAAATTATGTTAACGATAATTAACTTAATTATTATAATCATTGTAGCAGGTACATATAACATCCTTTAAGCAAAACAGATTATCGAATTAAAAAGGAAGCGTGTGATTCATACAACCTTATTAGAGATGGCAAATCTCCATCAGGAGGTGTTCGTATCAGTGATTAAGCAACAAATTACCATTCAAATCAGTTTAATCTAAAGCAAAAAATGATAAATTACCAATAGAAAGTAAACATAACCAACGAGGAAGATGATACAACTGATATCTATAATTGTTCATCAACAAAAAGTGATTCAAATAGCTTACATCTTACGTGACAAGAATTCATGATACTCTAGGAGACGGTGGGAAACATTAAACGATCGGGAAGTATACTTACGAGAGGAGAGATGCTATGAAGAATTTTGTCATGTTGTTTTGGGGAAGAGGACCAATCGAGATGTAGAGTCGTGTATACGAGTAATGTTGCCTTAGCAATGACTTGGCGACCTCCTGATATAAGGTAGGGGATAGGGAAAATCGAGGAAAAGATAAGGGTTTTAGGCACCAGATTATAGTCAGGACGATGAGGAGGAATCTCCTGTTAAGGCACAGCCTGATGTGTGGTAGGTAGTCAAATCGTCGGTTGCTTGATGCAGTGAAGAAGAATAGGAGGTGTAGGAGTAACAACATGATTGGGTTTTGATTTTACCAAAATTTGTGGCGGGTTATGGCGGGATATCGAAAAAATTTACCAAAACTTACGAAAGACTAAATCTAAAAAGTAAATGATTGATTTGTTTTCTACCGTATACATTTGATTTCATTACCTTAAATAGCTTGAAAATTTCAAGCTTAGTCCTTTATATTTGTATATAAGTTTCAATTAATACCTTTTGCTTATTGAACTTTTAATATATATCCTTATAAAAATAATGTATTGATTTAACAAAAAAATATGTATTTTTTTTTTTGAAACCGGCCCATTGAGTAAAAAACTTGGTTTGATCTGACGTCGGTACGGTATAGGGTTGGTTCGATGGATCCAAATCTTCATTTCTAATATATAATAAATATGAAATTCAGCTTGATTAGCTGTAAACGAGTTATGTTTTAATTTAGGACTTTTTTGTATAAAATGGACGTTGAAAATATTAAGATTTTTTTTAAACATCATTAAAAGTAGGTTGTGCAATCGATTCATGTTCGGGTTGGCATGTCAAAATATACCAACCCGATCAACCCAGTTAACTATACATAGGTCACGGATTGGAAGGTCACGGGTTGACGAGTTTGGAATAAAGGTTTGAGATGACGGTGAGGTGGTAAAATTCGTTGGTTGTTGCAACGGAGAAGAAGAGCAGGGTAAGGAGTGACAATGTGGTATGGGGTCTGATTCTACCTCAAATTTTGTGGTGGTATATTGAATTTTGATGTGGGTTAACTCAAAAAGTTTCAGGCAAAACCACTTTAATTTTTATATATTTCTGGCATAAAATTATGCTTTTGTTTTAGGGGTGACTGATAACCGGTTACCAATTTAGAGCCCATGCTTTTTTTTTACATATAAGTTATAAAACAATGTAAATTTTTTGCAAAATAGACCAAAAAAATGTAATTTTGTCCTTTTACATGAATTCCAATTGTATTTCCTACAAACCAAACAAAATTTGGAATTAAGTCAAATTCCATGTCATGCCAACCAAACAACATATGGAATTGGATTCAAATTCCTGACAGATTCCTTTTCCAATTCTAGTTCAAATTCCATTAGCGACATTTTAAGAACCAAACAGCGCCTAAGTTTTCTTTTCCTAAACAACACCATATGATTAAAAGTAGACCTAACAATCGTGTCGTGATCGAGTTGATGGGTTGCGGGTTAGCGAGTCAAAATATACCAACCCGAACACGACCCATTTAAATATAAAGGTCATGGGTTGGCAGGTTTAGAATATAAACCCATATATGACCTGTCAACCCACATATTTATATAAGTTCACGGGTTGGCGAGTTCCAGTGTCAGATTTGGGTTCATAAGTTAGTGGGTCAGATTTGGGTTCATAGGTTTATGGGCCATATTTGGGTGCGTGGGTCAGATTTCATAAATAAATTTGATAATTAAACATGAATAAATTCTTGATGCAAACATATCCGAATTTTAGAAGCGTAAGTCTTAAACATCCAAATGAAAATAAAAAAACATTCATGGAAACATGTTTAAACTAAAACATTAATACAAACATAAATAATTAAAATTCAAACGACATTAAAACATATTATATAATGACACGTCTCATCATCAATCATATCTTTGTCTGAGACCTCACTCAAATCCTCTTCATTTTTTCCCCAGGTGTGGGTTATGATATCCATATTCCTTCATTGTGATCTGACCATAAGTAAGTGGTGTCATCAACATCATCATTTGAAGATGGAATGTCGATAGAAAATGGGGGTAGTTCATCAAACTGGTTGTACTCTTCCTCATCCACAACATCATCAACACCAAGTATATGTCGTTTGCTATGCATAACGATGTGCTTTCCCGATTCCTTTGGGTCCTCAACATAGAATACCTGGGTAACCTGTTTAGCTAGGATGAATGGTTCAGATACATATCCGTTTGTGGAAAGGTCAACAACTGTAAAACCATCATTTTCAACTTTAACACCTTGTTGGTTGTCAACCCATTTGCATTTTAACATAGGTATAATGATGGAATCATATTTCAATTCCCATATTTCCTGAATGACGCCATAGTATGATTCTTTGGCGATCCTCACCCTTGTATCATGACTATCTCCATATACTTCAGTTGAGGCTATTACTGTTACACCACTATTTTGAAGTGTACTTTTTTCCATCTTGTTGATTAGTGTAAAATGTATAACCATTAATGTCGTATCCTTGGTACGTTGCCACAAGATCTTCAGGACCATTCCCTAGATGTACTACAGCTTGATCGACACTATCGATGCCATAACTTGCTCTCACTTTGTCTTTTAACCATTGTGAGAACGTTTTGTTATGTTCCTTAACCAACCATCTATTGCTCCTACCACGATTTGACAATTCCAGTGTTCTTTTGTGCTCATTTATATATGGAGCAATGATTGTCATATGTTGTACGATTGTAAAATGTGCAAGTTGTAAGTCTTCTCGATTTGGAATGATCTTTTTCAATCCAATTGTCCCACTCCCTACAAGTCTATCCTCATGTTAAGATTTTGGAATGCCAATACTATTGACACCTTGTAGATAGTCAGTACAATATTCAATTACCTCTTCTGTTGCGTATCCTTCAATAATACTACCCTCTGGTCGATGTCTATTCCTTACATACCCTTTTAAGACGCCCATATATCTCTCAAATGGATACATGTATCGTAAGAATACTGGCCCACAATACTTTATCTCTCTAACGATATGAGATGTCAGATGAACCATGACATAAAAAAATGAAGGTGGGAAATACATCTCGAGTTGGCATAACGTCAAGATAATATCACTTTCCCATGAATCTAACACCTCGGGATCAATAACTTTAGAATGAATCATGTTGAAAAACAAGCATAGCTTTGTGATTGTGTGTCGGATGCGGTCTGGTAATATTCCACGAATTGAAATGGGAATCATATGTGCCATTAAAACATGGCAATCATGGGACTTCATACCAAATAGTTTTAGTTCTTTCATTGACACTAACTTCTTAATGTTAGCTGAATAGCCCGATGGAACCTTTACACCATGTAAGCATTTACAAAATTTTGTTTTCTCGTGTGGGATTTTTCCCCCAAAACAGCCGATTCCCTGTTACTTTATATAATTAGAACTTAACCTATTCATATTCACTACTTTTCCTCCTCAAACAAAAACAAAAGTGTGGGAAAACTAGAGTGTGAGAGGGGAGGCCGCCATTGCTGAAGAGATCTCGACCATGGGGAGAGAAATAACAACTATCTCTCTTTGTTTTTTGTTTCCTATCAGCTTATTTATGTTTTGTTGTATGTATGCGTGTAAAATCAGTATTCCAGCCGACCCAGGCGAGTCAAAGATGTTGCTCACCAAGACGTTCCAAGTCCTCACCAAGACGCTCGAGACCGCAAATGTAAAAGCCGCTTGTATTATTCAAAAAATATTTTTAGTGTTTTCTATTTCAATTTGGAGAGAATTTTCGATCTATCTATCCATGACTTTCAAACGTGGTCATTTCAACTCGAAATTGATATTAGTTTTCTCATCTATTGCGCTATTGAAACTAAAAATCCAAGATTTTTCATGATCTCTGTTATTGAGTTGAGTTGATTTGTTGGTGCATTGTCCACACATGCTTTTTAATGACATACCTGGAACCGGCAAAACTACCACTACCCTCGCCATTGTTAAGCAGCACTATATATTTGAACTTTTTTTTTTGTTTGTTTTAGTTTCTTTCTGGTAATTTTCTCGTTAGCTAGTTTGACTGATGAACATTAGTAAAAGAATGTCATGAAAAAATCCGCCCTAAATTTAATAAGATCTGTTTGGGAATTTTAGGTATTGTTAATTGTCATTTAGTGTTGTTTATTTGGTTTTACAGTCAGGAACTGTACAAATGCAGGGTTCTTGAGCTAAATGATAGTGATGAGTGTGGAATCAATGTATACAATATCTAAAATTAAGAATTTTGTTGCAGTTGCTGTTGGTTCTGGGCATCAAGGGTATACAAGGTGTAACTCAAATATAGTTTACCTTCTTTTATTACTTTCTGAGTACCCCTCTCATATGAGTTTTATTTGACTTTTATTCTATCATATCATAGCCACAGTTTGATTAATATTGTGATGCAGGTGTTATGGTTATCCTTGCCCACCTTTTAAGATTATCATCCTTGATGATGCAAATTCAATGACTGAAGATGCACATGCAACTCTCTCTCCCTATTTTTTTTTATTTTATAATTATTTGGAAGTGATATACAAGTAGTAATATAAGTATCTTGTTTTTGTGTTGCAGAATGCCTTGTGTCATACAATGGAAACCTACTCTGATACAGATGGGAAATACTAGAACAAAAAGTTCCCAAACCAAGAGTAATGCGGGTATACTGAAGCCACTTTTGGAAGAAAATATGAACACTATAGTGTACTGCATATCTGCAATCTTAACTTCGGACTCAGAGGTCACTATGAATCTTTTGCTTTCTAATGTTGTTAAAGTAGCTTCTTGAATTAGTATTATGTACATGTTCTTATCTGTATTTGTTGTGTGATTGGTTATATTATAGGCTCTCTTAACCTTAAGTTCCATATCACAAGGAGATCTTCGTCCTACTATCATACTATCACCTTTTTGTAGGTAATAAGGATTACTACTTTTTTTGCTTCCCTTTACTTCTCATAAATTTATGTTTATTGAAAACAATATTTATATTTCCAAAACCAACTAATCACATATTATACAGAAAATGGTAAAGCTAATAAAAGCAAACAATCGGATTACGAATACATACCAAGACATAAAAAAGGAATAGTAATTGTATCGTAGTTTACACTTTCCCACCATTCATGATTTGAGGTCTCAACTTTTCTGCATACATAAACAAATTTTTATTTTGTGTCCAAATATGCTATTTTTAATTCATTGGAATTTCAACAAATCAACAAATGTAAAGCTATTGATAAACGCTACAATTAGAGATACGTACCAAT